TCTCAGAAAGCCAGCTGTCCAACACCTGGGGACCTTGGAGCCCTTGGGACAGTGTAATTCTGAATGCTATAACAGGAAAGTCACCAATTTTGTGGGAACTTAGGCTCATGTGAGCACTCTCTGTTGGGAGAAGACAAAGAAGCCCCCTTTTCCCAGCTAGCTTGTTGTCCAGGCAACCTAGATTAAACAACTAGGGTTATTTTTCCTCATTAAAGTACTTACAAATTTCCTACAAGAACAATGATATTTCCCAACATCCAGGACAATTCTGGTATGTGCCTGTCACCAAGTAGTTACTAATAATACGGTTTGGTGTTTTACTCACTGAATACTCATGCCCTACACTCAGTCCTTGGAACATAGTAGAACCCCAATAAATATATACTGAATAAGTGAATTTTCTAGAAGTTTTATTTTTGTTTTTAGCTCAAGATTTAGACTCAAAAAGTGTTGTTGGGTTTCAGGAAACATAATGGAAAAATAAGTGAACTAAAAGTTAGATCTTACTTCTGTATCAGCCATTTATTCATCTCACATTTCTTGAGCATCTACCATGTAATAGGCACTCTGCTAGGTACAGAAAATCATGGATTAGTAAGCAAAAGAGACACATCTACAAAAAAATTACACTAACGATGTGACCAGTGCTGTAAGAGATGGATAAAAAAATATACTAATTTGCACACAGAAGGAAACAAATTCTGCCTCGAATAGTAACAGCCTTGAGAGATGACATCTGGGACAGGTCCTTAAAAATGAATGGGAGTTCACCTGGCAGGCAGGGCAAAGAAAAGGGAATTTCATGCACTACGGAAATAGAAGGGATAATGGTGGTAATAATTTAGCCACTAAATAATCGCAGATTATCTGAGCTAGAATATAATAAACATTCTTAGTACTTAAGTATATGCTATGCAGTTATAAGGTACCTAGAGTAAGTCACTTAATTTTCAACACTTGAGATGAGTTCTATTATTGTCCCCAGTTTTTTAAAAGGGACTAAACTAAGCTCAGATGTTTTCATAGAGCTAGTAAGCAGCAGAGCAGGGCCTCTAATCCAGGCAGTCTGGCTTCAAGATCCATTGCCTTAATAAACCCTAGAGACCACCTATTGACACCTCATTAAAAACAAGGGGAAAGGGGGAAAAAGGGGTATTGCGATTAGCATACTTAATGTAGTGGTGGGGGAATGGGGAATATGGGGAAGGCAGTATAACACAGAGAGGGCAAGTAGAGATTCTTACACTGTAGTAGTGATTCAGAGCATCTTACGCTGATGGACAGTGACTGTAACGGGGTATGTGGGGGGGGATCTGATAATAGGGGGACTCTAGTAACCATAATATTGCTCATGTAATTGTGCATTAATAACAGCAAAATAAAAATAAATAAAAGCCAGTCCAAAAAAATTTAAAAAAACAAGGGGAAAAATGAATCTTGTGTAGTAATATTAGATCAGGAACAAGATCTTAGCTTAGAACCTCTATTATATCAGTTACGTCTGCTCTGGCTGCTGCTGCTCCCCATAAATTCTCAAATCATGGGATGCAGCTCAAATCAAAAGGTGTTTAACTTATATAGTCCTCTGGGTCCCATACCCTGCCCTAAACATTACTCATCATTTATCTGTATGACACATTTTATCAATCAGTGATCCGCCACTATGGTAAATTAGAAAAGCCCTAGAAGATAGCAACTTGCTTCCTTGTCCTAGCAAAGCTTTAAACTAACTGCGTGACATTAGACAAGTTTCTTGACCTTCCTGACACACTCAGGCTCCAAATGAATGAGGAGAGACCAGATGGTCAACATGAATCAATGGTTTAAGGACCTGTTCTGGAGTCAGACCTGAATTTAAGTCTGAGTGCTCATTAATTATGTGACTTTAGGCAAACTAATCTCTCTACATCTCAATTTGCTCATCTACAAAACTGGCATAGAGTATCTATTTCATAGATTTATTATAGTGATTAAGTAAGATAGTGCCTATAAAAATGTAAAATGCAGGAGTGTTCTTTAAATATTAGCGCTATTATCTACATTAATGGGATCATTGCACTATGCATACTTAGGGCATTTTTATGGAAACTTCTATTTTTTTAATGTAATATCTAATACCTATAAAAATGCTTGCAACCTATATGTTATAAAGCAAACAGAATCAGCTTCCATAACCCCTCCACCCAACTTAAGTAAAACATGTATCTGTTTCTTCTTTGTCCTACCACTCTGCCTTCCTCCAGTTTCCTATGGTAACTTATCTTGAATTTTGTATATATCATTCCTTCCCTTTTAGAAATTTTATTACGTAGGTTCCTATCCATAAACAAATTGCTTTCCTGTTTGATTTTAACATTTATAAAAATAACAAGCTACACAAATAGATTCTGTAATCTGATATTGGCTCAACATTGTTTCTAAATGTTATTAGTGATAGCTGTGATTCATTTTCACTGCTATATAATATTCCACTGTGTGAGCATTTATTTATCCAATCTCTGTTGATGAACCTTTAGTTTGTAGTTTTGTCTGTTATGTACATTGCTCCTATGAACACCCTTGGACATGTTTCTTGGACCACATGGGCAAGAATTTCCTTGAGGTTGTACTTAAGGGTCCAATAACCAGGAGAAATTTGAACATCAAAATTTGCCAAAACTTCTTAAGAGGAGGTGCCAATTTGCACTCCCTCTCCCAGTGCCAGTGCATAAGTTTCCATTGCTATACAACATCCTCACTCACACTTTGTTCTATGAAATGTGTTGGAATTTGCTAGTGTGGAGGTCTTCAAGTGAAATCTCATTGCAGCTTCTGATTTGCATTTTCTTGATTATTGAGATCAACCACTTTTTCATATATTAATGGCTTATTTATTTTTCCTTCTCTGTGAAATGCTTCTGTGGCTTTGCCCATTTTTCTACTATGCTGTCTTTTTCCTTTGGCTTTATAGGCTTTCACATACTCCAGAGCATATTCTTAATGCTTCATAAGCCTTTATATAGTCCACATTGTATTTGTTATATTATTGCAAGTATCATCTAAGTTTGTGGCTTGCCATTTTGCCTTCCTTATGGTGATTTTTGATAAACAAAGGTTATTTTTAAGTTATCACTGGTTTAAAAAACTTCCGTGTCCCCATGATAGAATTATGAAGATACTGTACCTGTATTTTCTTCCAAAATGTTTTGTTTTACCTTTCGCAAATATCTTCAATAACCAAGAATTGATTTTTACATAAGGTTTAAGGTAGAGATCACATTTTTTTACCCTGTATGGATGACAGATTTTCCCCACACTATTTATTGAATGATCTATACTTTACCCAGTGATCTTTAATGTCACTTTTATTGTGTATCATTTCCAAATATGCATGGTCTGTTTCTGGGTTTATTTTACACCACTATTGTGTTTTGTTTACTCCTGCATCCTTAATACATTTATCACTATAGACTTTTTTTGTCTTGCCAACTAGCAGAGCAAGACCTCCGTCTTATTCTCCCTCTTCACAAGCATATTTAGTCTTGGACCCCTGCTTATCAATACATCTTTAGAAACAAGTTGTTCAGTTGCCCCCATAATCTTTTGGGAATACTTACTTGTTTCCATCTATAACAATTTGGAGAGGTTTAACATCTTTACTTTATTGATGCTTCCAATAAAGAGAGTGTATCAGTGTATTTGGTCTTCTTTCAATATATTTCTATTAACTTTTATAAGGTTCTTCAGAGACCACACTTGGGAGACTTGTCATTTTCTGATGCTCTTGTATACACAGTTTTTTAAATTACATTTTCTTTGCTGCTGTTTGCAATTGACTTTTGGATACTTAGTTTATTTTCAGCATCTCTGAATCATTCATGCATGCATTCCTTTATATTTTCTGTAATGAGTATTTGCCATTTTCTTTTCCAATCTGAGAATTTTTCCTTCCTACTTGCTAGAGCCTCAGTACAAGTAGGTTGTTAAAATTGTGGTAAGACATCCTTGCCTTGCTTGTTTTGAGAAATGTTACTTCCAAGAATGCTCTTTTGAGGCACAACTTTATTTCTAAATCATAATTACCACCTGCCATCAGAGAACCTCCTTTATTCAATGTGTTGCCTACTTAGTGCTCTAGTTTCAGCTTCAAGTTTAAAATTTGTCAAGTGGGTATGTCCCTTTTTTCCTGCAAAGGCAATGCTATTGACTGAATTTTCTCCTCAAAATTTATGTTGAAGCCCTAATCCCCAGTGTGCCTGCATTTCAAGATGGGTATGTAAGGAGATAGTTAAAAAAAGGTCGTAAGGTGAGGTCCTGCCACAAAAGGATGTCTTTATGAGACACCAAAAGTTCACCTTCTTTGCCAGCACACCCAACTGAGAGGTCATGTGAGCACACACTGACTGATGGCAACTATCTACAAGCCTGGAACACAGGTTTCACAAGAAAGCAACCATGCTGGCACCCTGATCATGGACTTCCACCCTCCAGAATAGTGAGAAAACATGTTGTTTAAATCCCCCAGTCTAATGTATTTTGTTATAGCATCCTGAAGTAAGACACCCAACAATGCAATATAAACTGTTCTATTTAGGATCTGGTTAGTTGGCAGTGGGAAGCCTTCCCACTTCTGATGATCCAATCTGCCAGGGGAAGCATATAGGCAGGACTTCTGTTCTTATGTGCTATTTAATGTAACAGAGGTTGCTAATTAAGGTCCTCATTAGGGTCCCTTCAAACAAAAACTATTTGATGAAGAAGTGCTTATACTCACTCTTTTTAAGGTTAATTGCTAAAGTTTTGTATATATTTCATGTCTCAGTCCCCTCCCCAAATCTAGAATGAGACATAGGTTAAAAGCCTGAAGGACTGTGGGAGCAGAGGTTAAGACTCTACTTCTTGCAGTGGAAGGTCATGAGAAAAAGGATACTGAGTAATGATTTGATCATGTCTATAGAGATTAAGATAAGCTGTATGAATTAGTAGGGGTTAGGTTTAACTGCAAAACACAATTAAATGGCTTAAACAAAGTACAGATTTATTTGTGTCTCCCAAAGAAGTCCAGAGGTAGACTGTCCAGAACCGGTGTGACAGTTCCATGGTCATCACAGATCCCAGATTCTCCTGTCTTCCATCCTGAAGATCATCTCATGGTCCGAGATGGCTACTGGAGACTCAGCTATTATGTCCACATTTCAGACAAGAAAAAGCCAGATGAGGGTCTGGAGAAGCACACAGGACGAGCCTCCCAACAGTTAGCTCATAGAAGGAACTTTCCTGGAAGCACCACTAAGTGATTTCTGCTTATATCCCCCTAACAGCCCTAACTGCAAAGGGGAACAAGAATGCAGTATTTCAGCTGTGTAGTCACCTCCAATAAAATACAGGCTCTCTAAAAGTAGAAGGGATAATGGATATTGGGCAGTAAATTAATCATGTTTCTTATTTTCTGTGTTTTAATGTTTGGACATCTTAGGGCCTGGCAGACCCTGGGAGGGACTTCTCCCCTTCCAACATTAGCTAACTCTTGCCCATGAGCATGCCTTTGATATGTAAACCAAACAATTATGAACCCATACCCCCATTAACCTCCTTTTATCAGGTTCATGCAGTGCAGGACACTATTCCTCTGCCCAAAATCAACCAAGGGCCAGGTACCTGACAACTAGGGACCACCCCCTATTGCCCAGAGGCTGCTGAAAATTATTCGAACTGTCCAATCCTAAACTTTCTCAGCTTGCCAAACCTGCCTCATCTGTCCTTCCCCCTAAAAACCACTGCAAACGCTCTGGCCTACACATTCCCCTTGCTCCCTCTTCCTCCTGACCTACCCCGGTGCTTCCCCACGTGCTCCCGCAGGGCTTGGTGTGGTCCTGCATGGCGTGGCGTGTGCCCTCCTCTTGAGAACTGTAAGTAATACACTCTTCTTTCAAAGGCAGTTGTCTCCGCATCCTTCATCTTACCATATCTAATTAAAACAAATCCCAGAACATCAAAAACAGGTTAACAACTGGAAATCTTTCCCACAGTATGGTTTTCCATGACAAAAAGCTGGAATCCTATCAACATTTAAAAATTATCTGCTTCAAATGTGTTTGGCATAAGAAAAAAAGTCACTCAACTTCTCTTCTGAGCTCCAGATTCACTGACCACCCACCCAAATATAAGCTAGAAAGTATACAATTAACTATGTTCAAAACTAAACTCATTATCTTTCCTCTTCTCAAAGCTGCTCCCACATCCATGTTCCTTAGGTTCAGAAACAAAATGTCCCTACCCCACACAGCTGCCCAAGCAGGAGCTTCAGGACTGTTTTTTAACTGCCTTTTCTCTTACCACCAACACCTACTATGCCACCAGTAGGTCCTGGACAGAAGCTGTGTTGTTCTTCTCAGTATCCCCAACCCTGAGCCTAGCACAGGATCTGACACGTAACTTGTACACAATGAATTCACTGTCAATCCCAAATGTCCCTCATGTCACCTCTCATCCCCATTCTACTAACCTTTCTAGGTTTGTTCAGTAGCTTCCTAACTGCCTCCAGGATTTCCCCCTTCAGTTTCCACTGTTCCTCCTAAAGCACAACTTTGATGAGATGTTCCATTTTGGAAGCTTATAGCTCCCCATTGCCAAAGTTCTCTCTGCAAGCTTTCAGGGTGCTCTGCAACAGCCCAACCCACTTTTCATGTTTTATCTTTCACTGTGTCATCTATTTTTAAAGAATCTTTTTCATGCTGTTTTCTCTAGCTAGCCTAATAGTCTCTCTGTGCCCCAGAGGAATTTATTTCTACCAGCACTACTGTACTCCTCACACCTTATCACACTTAGCTGCACAGGCTCCTGCTTTTGTCCTCCCCACCCAACCCCCATCATCCTGGACTGTGAGCTGCTTCAGTGCAGGAACCTTGTTATCGTCATCCCAATATCCAGGCCTGTATGGGTACCAGATAAGTAGGAGGTGCCCAATTGACCTTGGAGTTTAAAAGATTCCCAGGTTATTAAATAGCCATGGAATATTAAGAACCAACCAAAATAAAGCATTACTAAGTGGCTCAGTAACCCATGGACATTAACAAGAAAGTTCAAGTACAATAAACTGAAGTTACTATGCTCTCAGCTAAGAGATGGGCATGGTGACTGAGTGATACGCTTTGTTTAAAACTACAACAGTAGGAACAGCCAGTATGTTGAGCACTTGATTCCTTCACCATGTGCAACATGAGTTACATGTATTACTTATTGTGTTCATCACAGCAGGCCTATAAAGTAAGACTATTATCCCTGTTTTATTCACAAAACATCAAAAATCTGAAGAAGAGAAAATTAAAACACTCTCCAGAGGTCATTCAGTGGGTGAATGAAGCAGAGATTCAAATCCAGGCTGTTTGACTACACAGCCTTAACTGAACTATTACGACAAATGACATTGTTTTCAAATGATAGGTATGGCAGAAAAAATGTCAAGATATACACCTGTATGGAACACCAAAACTCTGAGGTCCAAAGCATGGCAGAGAAAAAATGGATGAAGAGTAAAGAGACAAGAGATACTTCATTATGGTGGCTGCATGATTCTCATAACCTAAAAAGCTACACACCATGCTATCATAGACTGTGGGACGAGCACAGAGGCGAAGTGTAAAGTGAAAAGGGACTTCAACACTGCTGACACTTGCCAAAACTCATTCTCTAAAAAGTGAGACAGCGACTCTCAGCAAGATGGAAACAATTAGAGGAAAGAGTGAAAGGAGCACACACACTGAACTAACTTTAACCAGTAAAGAGACACTACTTGGTAACAAGGAAGCAAGAGGAATACATAAAGATAACCTGTAGAGAAATTAACTGCGACTTGCTCTCCTGTAGGCTCATGAGACTGCAAAGCAGAAAGAATAAAGCACAGGTATTTCTCCTTCACCCGTAATTCTCCCCCCAACTAAATCCTATTATGTATTGAACTCATGGTGTGATTCCGATGCATCCTGCCCAGGGCACTGGTCAAAAGTTAGCGGTGGGAGGCTCTGGACAGTAGGGCTAATGGAAGTGGGAGAGCGGTGGGAAGCAGGCAAAGGGCAGAATGCAAAATACAAACTTCACATGCCTACATTCAATCTTCAGGTGTGCCTTTTATAAGCTGTGTGACTTTGGTATGTTTCAGGTTTCCTCACCTGTAAAAGGGGTAATAGCTAAATAGAACACTTTTTAAAAAATTTAATGCAGTGCCTAGCACATAGTAAGCACAAAATACCAACCATTAGTATGTTAGTATTACAAGGGATTTCTCTATTAACTCATTAACCTTGGAATTCTCTCTCATTTTCTACAATGATTTGCTTGCTGTTACTCCTGTCAATCCTCACAGCATATAATGCAAACCCTGACAGAAAAGTGAGTAAGGTGATCCTGCTCTCATTTTCATGTGAGCATTTCAGTGCAAGCCAACTGAACAACAAACATTCACAACGCCCTACAATGCCACTGTACTAGGCTGAGCAGGACAGGGGCAAAAGGGCAGTTTGAGTAAAAGACAACCCTGCCTTTAAGAACTGCAAGATCTCTTTTGGGAACAAAGAGAAACTATCGTTAGTTTCCCCTAACTGAGCTGCGATCCCAGTCGGCAGTGACAAGTAATACCCAGCACAACCACAACACCGTGTCTATGGTGTTTGGGGATGTCTCTGGATTAATTATTCAGAGATTTTTAAGAAATGGATGTCTCTGAGAATGCATTTAAGTCCTGGCAGCAAACAGTGGATCTGTATGTAGGTTGGCTTTTAAAGCTGGTTGCTCTGGGTTATGTTCATGTATTAAGAGGAGAATGAAGGAAAAAAAGTGGTAAATGAAGTGTCTAAGCTTGAGTTACTAAGATGAGGAAAAATACATGAAAGATCATCTTGTTCACCTCTAGTACATGAAGCAATACTAACTGAAGGTGAATGAGCAGAGCAAGCCTACCTTGGAAATAATGGAAAGACTGTTTTTCCCCAAAATGAAAACTGCTTTATTTTTTTTTCATGTTATAAAATTAATGTATGTTCAATGCTAAAAAAATTAGAATATACAAAAGTGTAAAGAAATAAAGGAAATCACACATAATTTCTCCATCCAGAGATTATCACATTTTGATGTTTCTCTTTTCAAACCTTTCTAAGCATATACCTGTATCTATACCTACACAATTACTTCTTTTTCAGGAATGAAGTAACATGCCATTTGATACTTTTTCTGCCACACATCTATGTATTACACTCATCTTTCTACTTAGCATGGAATCCCAAAATCAATGTCACAGGGTAGTTTTCTGCAGATACTCCCTGACACTCAACATGAAAAAGGGAAATCCAAGACGAAGCTGGGCCTAGACGCCCCCAGAAGTCTGTCACTGCTGTCAGGTTCCACCCACTGACTCTGAGACCAACGTGGGAGCAGCAGGCAGTTCCTCCGCAGATGGGGCTGCGTAGGGAGGAAGCAGTTTCTGCTCCAGCAGCCTCGGCAGCCTGGCTGGTGGGGAAGCCCTGGGCCTGCGGTGACCCATGCATGCTGAGGCCTCTGCACCGAGTACCTGACTGAAAGCTCCGCTACACCAGCCTCCAAGCCTCCAGGCAATCTCCAGTGGGAGTCTGCAGAGAGCCCCTCGGCTCACAGGGGTCCTGTGGGACACTTCTTCACCTGTGCCCAGACTCAGAACTGCTTTGGGTGGGTCATCAAGCTGTTTCTTTCCCAAAGCACATTTTCACCACCCTGATTAAGCAGAGACTACTCATCTGCATTAACTTCTCAAAACTTTTAAGGAGTATAAAGATAGGTTTGCTGAGGAAAGAAACAGAGTTGCCCCATTGGACAAATTTTATCTTTTTTATAGTTTTGCTTAAGGAACGTGACATGAAGAAGTACAGACTACCTCACTGTACAGTTTTAGTGTGTTAACTCCAAGAGCAGAGTTCATATGCTGATTAATGGGCCCAATTGGAGAAAAAAAAAAAAAAAGACTGCCAGTATGAGAAAATGTCAACTGATTTTCTACTGTTCTGGGAAGAGAAGAAAAAGCTAAGGAACTCCATCTTCCCTTAACCAAACTGTATTATTTTGTCAATACAAAAAGCTGTTCAAGTATGTAGAACACACCTTAAAACAAGAAGTCAAAGGTCCATAAATAATACAGACTGTGAATTCTAAACCTGTTACTGACCTAAGCTACAGTTAGCACCATGCTCTCAGGCAGAGGGGCAGGACATGAGACTGAGGCACAAACAAACAGACTGGTCTGGTGGCAAAGCTGAAGCCTGAGTGGCCCAGATAGAACAAAGGACTTCTCCGATTTGAACTAGACAACCTGCTTAGCCGCAGCCAACCTTTAAAAAACTGCAGCAAACTAGCAGGCAGACCTGTGGAGGTCTGATGCAAACTTTAAAAAGTAAAAGATGCACTGAGAAACTGCATTCTGTATAATATTAATTAGTAAGTTATTAGTACTCTGGAGTTGCTAGAATCTTATAATAAAAGTAACAGTGTGTACACAATGATCTGTATATGTGCACCAAGAGGCCATGTAGAACAGTGAAAGGAAAATGTCATCCCTGAGGCTCTGACCTAGGGAGGCAATGTCAAAGGCTGTTTATGGGACTCCCCTCAGAGTGCTGTATGAAACTAAAAGGAGAGAATAAGGGTTCCAGAAGATAGGGACTAGCAGAACCAGAGTGCCTTTATCATGACCTGATGGTGAACTATTTCATTCCTACTTATGTTTTGGGTCTTTACTGCTGATAACCTCTATTTCATAAATATCCCTAGGGCAACTGTCCAAAAACAAAAGATGTGAAGAATGTAGGTTAGTCTTGAAACCATTTAGGTTATATACCAGCCACTGTTCAACAACCCCCTTGAATTTGGGCTAAAACTTAGTATGCCACTGGGATCATTCATCTGTCAACATTTATTGTCTATTCTGTTATAAGCACTGGTTAAGGTGCAGGTGCCCAGGAAGATAAAATCCTTGCCTTCTAGTCTATACAGCACAGATAAGAAAATCAATATTCACAACCATGGGACAAATACCTGACAGATAGTGGTGCTCAATAAATATCAAGTAATATCAATACTGTAATACAAGTGGGCACAAAAATCACAAGGTCTTCTCAAAGGACACTTACCCCTGTACCATAAGAACGTGAAAGTTCATTATTTTGTATACTTATACATAGCAACAGTCCCTAAAAGAACAAACTAGAACTAGTGAATGCCATAATAGACACAAGCTACCAAGGTTTATGACACAAAAAGGGGAGGGGGAGCGATAGGAGAAATATTATCACTCATTTTATATAAAAGAATATTTAATTCTTGTCCTTAGAAACTATAGACTATACATGATTTTGAAATCAGACTGTACCAAACAATGGCCAAAGAATCCACTCTATGCCTTCTCTTTTGTCTGGTCGGTCAGAAATATAATGTTATCTGTAAAGAAGCCAAAGGAGAAAGATTATTTTCAGAACATTTTCTCCATCTCATATAATCATTCCCCTGTTATACATACATACTTTAGGGCTGTTAACTAAAAGGATTTTAAACAGAACCCCAAAATATTATAGAACTCTTACTGTGTACATGAGAGAGAGATACAACAGGCATAATGGAACTAAAAGTTGGGCTTCTGCTGTTTATCGGCAATTCAGATCTTGTTAGAAGAGGTGGGATATTCCTGTCTTCCCTAAAGATAGTTAAGGCCCTCTCAGCAATAACTTCCTACAGAAGAACTAACCACATTTTGATGCCTGCCATGAAACCAGGAAGCACATCCTCCCACAGAAGAGGACCGAGGAGTAACACTCCACATGCTGCAGACAGAGATCAAGGACAGGGTTTCAACATGTGGCCCTGTTAGCAAATACTGATTTCTTCATGTTTGTAAGTTTGAACACTCAGACGAAGATACTGTATTTTTAAATTTTAAGACAAAATGATCTTCAATACATTCTTGGGTTAATGTTTACTAATAACATTAGAGAGCATTTTTATCCAAGCACATGACACTGCTCTTAAATGTTGTCCCAGAGCTAGTTTAGGATGAACAAAGAAAAGAAGTAGTACTTCCTACAATAACTCCACAAGATCTAGATTTTTGTAACTTGAGAATTATTCAAAAATTGGTTACCATATATACAATGACTGAATACATATTATACATACAATGACTTAACATTAAAACAACAAAAGAATGGAATATTTGTTCATGATTACAGACTTACAAGGAAGGATAGAGTTATTTTGGTACAGAATGTCAGAAGAGAGAGTGACAATACTATGTAAAATGGCAAGAGTGCCACTTGCTGGTGGTTAATTTTAAATATGTAGACACTGATTGTTATGACAAAAAAATAATGGCCTTTGAAACTGATAAACCAAATTAAACTCTATTTTCTTCAATTCAAATGCACTAAAGATCTATTCATTTTTACTGTTAGCCATAAACCTATGTTAACTGCTCAATCATCCACGCTGGTGAATACTAGAGACAAGAAAAAAAATGGCAGGTAATTGAAATGTTTCTATTTGTTTCACAATGGTTCCTAACAATTCACACAATCCAAAGTTTGCCCACACATTGTTTATGTGGAAAACAGAAATATCATATGCTTCATAAATATAGGATTGGTAGAGATTTAGAAATATCAACTCTTATTAGAAAGCCTAGTTTTTCAGTGCTGAAATCATGGGTGTCATTTTACGCCACACAGAGGTCTGGAAAAAATTTTTGAACAGGTAGGTATCTCTGGAGACATAATCCAAAGAAAAACAGGGTATGCAGGAAATAATACACTGTCAAGACACTCAAGAATTATGAGAGCAAAATGGTCGGAAAGAACTCAGATTTAAAGTCTTGTAACAAGGGTAGAAAGATATTTATGTTAGTTTTCAAGGTCAATAAATATACTTTCAAAGAAACCAGTAAGAAAACAAGTATTATGATTATTATTTACAACCAATTATAATTTATCAATATGTTATGGGGTTAAGACTAACTCTGGAACAAGGAAAAAGTGAAAGATAAAAACATCTATCAATTAAGAAAGACTTAAGTTCTCAGAATTTTATCCTTACGAACTGTGAGAAAATAAATTTCTGTTGTTAAAAAAAAATAGGAGAGAAGATACATATAAACCATTGGTATAATGCGTGGAGAACTTGTATTTAGGAAGCAATCAAGGAAATTTAAACAATGTGATACCCAGTAAAAAAATAAATAATTTCTTACTACTTGATGTGATAATAGTGTAAGTATGTTTTAAAAAGGAATCCATATCTTCCAGAGACAGCTATTGAAATATTTATGGATGAAATAATATAATGTCTGAGATTTACATCAAAATAATCCAGGTGGGGGAAAAGTGGGCTGGAGGCGTACAAATAATATTGACCACCAGTTGGTAAATGTTGAAGCTAAATGATGGAGGTGTTCTTACTTTTCTCTCTACTTATGTAAATGTTTGACATTTTCCATATTTTGGCGTATCTCAGAAGTTCATATAAACATTGAGACATTACTACAATAAAATTCATTTTATTCCCATATACTTATAAAAACAATGTTTCTCAGTGTTAATGTCCATAAAAACAAAAGAATGGAATTAATGCTCAACAGTCTCAAACTATCCAGAGATGCATTTTCAGTAAGATTTTAGTTTTTATATTCATATATTAAAATTGTTTTGGTCAATTATGTTCTAAAAACTATAATGATAACCCAACCAAGAAGAAATGTAATGCTCAGAGACTTAGTATTACAAAATTTTGAAAAACATTAAAAAATTTCTACGTATGTATTGTTACAAATATATGATGAATAAGATTCTTAACTAAATATTACATTAAGTTACTCTTCTGAGAAAAATGAAAAACAAGAGAAAAAGGAATAATAAAATTCCTAATTGTTTACTTTTTAAAAAATGATGAGTATCAAATTACTATGGTATTTAGATCCATTTAATACTTTTAAGAGCAACGTAACTGCATACTGAAAAAACCTTAATGTCAACTTAAATATGACCAAAGGGATATACTGTCTTCAAAATTCTTGTAGAATTTTCAGAGCTTGAAAACTCTGCTCTAGGATAATTTTAGCCTTTTTTAAGCTTTGTGTGTCCATCTTAAATAATGTAGCTCTGCATTTTGTTTAACAAAAACAACAAGAATTTAAAACAACATCATAAACTAAATAGGTTACGAGTAAATGTGCACAAATGCCTAATGCTACCCATGTTAGTATAACTCAGTCTTGGCACACGGTTCTCCCTGTTTAGGCCATGTCCTTCAAAGACACTAAAGTTCTTATAACACGTAATAAATATTGCTATAGACCCTACTCAAAAGTGACTTGTAAACTAAAACTGTTGAGTATAGACATTATTTTCTAAAGGAATAGATAAATGCAAAACGATTAGCAAGCCCCTAAACCACACTGAGAATTCTCCTGGCGGGCTGCCTTACAATCTCATTAGCATCATACTCACTGTCCCAGTTAAAGTTCCTTACAACACAGCCACAGAAGGAGAGGAAAAAAGAAAAATAGTTATTATCACAAGTTTCTTACCAGCTATGATTGTTGTTGCTTGTCGCCTCACATTATTTTTATCCGTGTATTCTCCGTAGTCTACTTTCCCTTCCACAAAGATTCGAGACCTGATACCAATAAAATTTAATTTTTAGTCTGCAGATTCTAATATGCTTTACAAGAGTCAGATCAGAGGCAGTAAGGAGTACACACTAAGGATGAAACATTATCTTACATAACCTCATTTTTGCTACCATTTATTCAAAGTTCAGAATTAATACTGAAATGGTATAAACAGGCTTGACGTATCTAGGTTAAAAAGGATAGTTACGCCTTGAGCTGACTACAGTCCTTATAAAGGTAAAAAAACAAAAACAAAAACAAACAAAAAAGAGGACAGAAAAAACTTTTCAAAATCTTAAACCAGTATTTTTTTTACAAAACAACCTTAAGACCATGAAAATGGTAAAGCAGTCTAGTAGCAACTTCATCTCCAAGACTGGTTCCCAATGTGGCATTTTCCTTTACCTTTGACTCTGGACTCCCTAACAGACTTGCTGACTTTAACTTATTTTTCAGTTCCTTTCTACAGTGAGATTCATGAGCTTATTCTCAAGGGACTTAAATTACTGAAATTCAAAATAGAGGTTTTCAGCTTAGTACTTCCCTAAGAGTCAATTCCTAAGACTATTTCTGTACTAGTGAGAAGGTAGAACTGATTTTTGAAGAGTAGAAAATGACCGTAACAGCACCTATTTTCAGAGTCTACAACGATCAAAAAAGTACAACATAGAAAAAGATAAAACTGGTGAAATGACTGGCTGCCAAAGGGAATATACACACAGATTCATAAATCAGTTTGTGAGACTGCATAGACATTTTCCTTGAAATGTCCTGTAGATGTCATGTGTATATACATATTCATACATACATAAAAGACAAAGGAGATACATATGAAGAAAAGATTTGCAGTTATTGAAAAGAAATAGAAATTTTAGCTATTTCTGAAATTGTTTTTCATGAAACATGTTTATTTCTATAAAAAGTACATTTCTAAATGTATTAACAATGAGCAGAACTATTGTTCAACATGCCCTTTTGTCCTGTTTGGAAAAGACAAATTTTTTATACATAACTAACCTAAGCACTCCAAAAGGCAACTACTTAGCCTATATAAAGTTACCAAAAATAAATTAACTGCTGCGATTACTATATGCCTCACTGGGCTTCAGACATTCCAGATCCTCTGCTAAGCACAGCCAAGAGGCTGGTCACCCACCGAAACTCCCAAAAGCATATGTTGCATTTGCTCACATGGCACTAGGTTTTTTACTCTGCCTTCTCCCTTGCCTCACCTGCTTCTATTTATGTACACACCTTATTTGCACTAAATTTTAAGTTCTTAGAAGGTTAAACCATGATTTCTACACCTCTGAATTAGTCACACATGGCAACATGTCACACATACAGAATTAAGCACTGAATAAATCTCTCAAGTTAATAAAGAGTAATTAGTAGTACTCAGGAATAAAGGAGTTACGTGTTCCATGAAAAAATGTTAATAGTTTTTTAAACCATTCAATCTGTAAGATCCTTCTTCAACTTACCCCTTTTTCACATACTGATAAGCCACATCTCTGAGGCCTGGTCGGAATACTGAAATTCTGTGCCATGTTGTCTTTTGACTGATATCGCCTAAATCACAATAGGAAACACGGTTATAAATATCAGCAAGATAAAACAAATACCAAAGAACATGCCCAGCAAAAGCAAGTTCACAATCCCTAAGAGAACAGAACAGAATTAGAGAAGAAAGATCTCTAAAAGTAGCTTACTTCTGATTAGGTAACTGACTATTAATAACGTCTATTTACTGCTGATAAAATTAATACCCCAGTCCTTTACACTCACCCATTTGGTATGTTTCATTTTCCCCTGATCGCCACATCTCATTTGTTGCTAGAGAAAATATCGTGACTGGGTTTTTTCCTTCCACCTGTCTCATGACAGGGTCCTGACCCACTCGCCCAAGTAACTGGACACGATTCAGAGCTGCAACACAACGTGTAGATAAAATGAGACTGAGAGACATGTCCAGGAGAGGAACAGCTACAAATACTGCTTTAACTTCACTCTCAGCATTAAGCAAACCCCAAGTTCAAAAAAATCAGAAAAGTAAGTTGAAGGGACAAATAAATAGAGGCTGTGAGGGGAAAGGAGTTGGCAAGAAAGAAGAACACATTTATAAAGAAGGTAGCCTGACAAATCAAACATTAAGTTTTTTATCTTATCTTCTTTAAAAATACCTTTAAAAAAAAACTGTATGGTTAAAAGAACAAATCTGAGATCTGAAAATCTCTATAATCATTAGAGGATATTTCTGTGAAACATTAGCTCTCGCAACCTTACTACCTCAGCCAAATAGCACATAACCTTGAGAGAGTCAGATAACCAAATATGATTCAAAGAAATTCTATGGAAGGAAAAAGATAACAAGAATGAGTAAAAACTGACAGATAAGGAAGAAGTAGGCCCCCTGCAGGCTGATGGGGCAGCGCCAAGGCCTGAGAGACAAATATGAGCCAGGGGAATCTTAACTAACAGATTATAACCCAACCAGTGCACCTTTTCTGCAACACATTTGAGAATATTAGCACATTGCTATAAATAACATACTTCAAACTTGGAAATTAACCACTACTTACATCTCTCAAGAATTAAGCTGTTAGCTATTTCAGACTCATGTCTTACAAACTGTTGAAGTACCTAAAGTGGAACAAATGAATTAAATGGCTTTAGTTATTTGAGAAATACAAAAGCAAACATAAGAGCTGCTCACACTCCTACAGCATACATACACAGAAGACAAGAGATGGACTGTCCCTGTTCTCCCACCACACAGTGCCAGAGCGACCAGGGGAACACTTAAGGGCAGCTTACTACAGAAGACCAAGTGTACTAAGAAAGTTAACTAATAGTCCTCTCCTGTTTTCTTTTGTGGCAACCCTCCTAATTTTGGTACTTCTGAGGTTGCACACAAAAGATAAAATCAAATATAAATTGGAAAAACTCATGCATTCAATAGACCAAAAAACAATACTTATTTTAAAAAAGATAAATAAATTCAGTTCCTTGATAAAGTTACAAAGATGTAAGTGTCCAAATTAGTCTGTCAGAGAAAGGTAGTCACTGACATAACAGCAGCACTCAAGGATAACATCGCCATTAATGATTACCAGCTTGCTTTACATCTTATCTATTAACCTTCAAAATAAATCTGTAAACTATGTGAAGTTATCCCTCCTTAAAAAATGAAAAAAGTGAAATTCAGAGATTAAGTCACTTGCCCAGTATCCTACAGGGAACATGTGGCAAGTCATGACACCAAGGCCGTCTGACGCCAAGGCTGCTGCTTCTCCCATGCTCTTTGATACCTCCTTAAAGACATTCTGCTCAAGGGCTACTGCCAAGATATGAATACACATCACTGGGCACATTGCTAGGTTCAGAGAGCTATTACATCAGAGAAATGTGTCAAATGTAGCACTGTTAACATAAAAAGTCGATGTTCATCAATCAAATGAACATCTATTCCTAGCATACAGTTGGTTATGGAATCCTTTCACCATGTTTTGGGGTAAAGGGTGGGTCAGAAAATAAAGAGGGAGTTACAACACACTAAATAATCAAAGTGCTAACTAGTCCTGGTGTTATGGTTCTAGAAATATACGAATTTGGGTACTAAGATGAGCCACAGCTTCTCAATCTTACAGAATAATAATGCCTCATTTTGGGCACACAAAAATCAACACCTACTGGCAAAGCAGAAATAAAGGGAAGAATTTTTTAACTGGGATAATTTTTTAAATTAAACTTTTAACTCTCTTAAATCTGGCTTTAAAGAGACCTTAATACCATTGAATTAGGTATTAAGACAGTATTAATTTTTACATGTTTCACATCTCAACACATATAAAAAAATGGTAAAAGTATGTATAGGTTAAAGTGGAGATCCCAGACTATAAGGTTAACTCTACAGAACAGTGGGGGAGATGACACCAGGTTTCACAGAATTCATTCTTCATTTAGTCTTAACAGGATCAACAGTTTAAGTGTTATAAAGGAGAACCTACAGAACTTGGTGCCCAAATGTGGTGAGGAAACGGGTAGTGTGGGCTGACTAAAGCTGGCTATTGTGTCTGGAGAGATGAGGAGTCAGATTGGGTGGAATGAGAAGGAATTTTGGACAGTAAATCTGTGAGGATGTTGAGTCTGCAGGTGCTTTTGTCAATACAGGGAGACGGGGGCTGACAACATCCAACATTGGAGGTCAGTGGTCAGAAAAGGAACCAAATACCTTAAAGAAAAATGCTGGAAATGATTCTCAGTCTTTACATCACTAAAGACTTTAAAAGCTCTCTAACTGATCTAAATATATGTAATGTGTCTGAAGAAGTAATGACTCCCATTATATATGTGAATAAACAAGAAAATCCTTTTCGACTGAACAAATACACAGGTAAAATCTGTCCCCAACCCTGCATGGCAAATAAGTACACATGAGGTAGGTGGGCTCAAAGGTCTTTTGCCATTGCAGTCAGAAGTCCAAATAAATCTGATCTCCATGGCTGATAACACATCTCAGCACTAAAACAAAAAGTGATTACCTGTAACACAGGCCTTCGAAACATGGCTTATTTTTTTCCTATAATCTAATCTTTAGTCTTTTCCTGAAAGAAAAAGAAATTAAGTATTACACCTTGTATCAAAGAACACAAATTGACTAATCCTAAATTCCTAACTTAGTTCATTTTTATGCAATCCACTTTTCGACCATAACCTATCAACATCCCTGCACATCTGATGATTCCTTCTCCCCCTCCAAAAAAAAACCTCACACCTGTATCGTCTTTCTGATTCTTCTTAACTTTCTCTTCCTCCAACCCATACAAAAAATTGAGTTACTCTCATTTCCATTCCACTGTCTTCTCAAATTTAATTAAAATGCAAGGGCAGAGATTTTGTCTGATTTATTCATTAACACAGCCAATACTCAGAAATTCCTGACACATAATAAAGGCTCAATAAATATTAATATATCGTCCAGGGGCTTAAACATAAAACTTTTTACTACAAAAGTTACTACCTCCATCCCACTAGCATAGAGTTAGGAGATGCCTCGACTCCCGGCCTCACCGCCGGAATACGCGGGCGCCTTTCTCAAAGGTGGCGCTCGCGACCAACAACGTTGAGGGGCTGGGAAGTGGAAGAAACTGCCAAGTCCTCGGCACGAGTGAGAAAATAAGGGCCGGACACCAACACAGTAAATCCTCCCGAACCCCGCGGAGCCATGTGCAGACCTAACAAAGATGCCGTGGCTTCCTCCGCGCCTCACCTGACGGTCTAGTCTGAACAGCCTCGCATCACAGAACCACTTCCGGGTACAGCAGGAACGTAAGGGTGGCGAGGGAAGAAGAAATCGGAAAGTCCGCCGCGTGCGCCGTAGAAAAGCAGCCGGCCGGTGCCTTGGGAAACACACCCCCTTAACGCAGTAGTTCCGAGAGCTTACTTCCGGGCGAGAGCGAGTAGATGAACGCCGCCAAGTGGTGAGTTGGAACTGATTTCGAGTTTCAAATCAAATTACGTAATGCGGTTCTCAGCCGGGCCCAGGAGGGGTCAAGGTAGGCAAAACAAAGGATAGCTCCACTTCTGAGAAACACTGGCAAGGTCCAGGCTTTCCCAAAGCGTTAAGGAAACCAGAAACAGGAACTGGGGAAGAGCGGAGAGCGCATATATAAGGGAGAGCCAAAAAATTGCCCACCAAGATGAAAATTTAATGCAATATTTTTTAAAGTCAAAATTAGTGCAAAAAGTCCGTGATGAACAAAAAATAAAATTTCAACTAAATACACAACCCAAGCCATATTGGATACTGAGGCACAAGGAAAATGTATACCCCTATATACATGTTTTTATGTATCTTAAACAATTTTTCCAGAACATCAACATAACTTGAATAATGAAAGTCTTAAAGTAGGTATATTAAAACTCACATTGTTTTGTTTAAATATTTTATTTATACCAAAACCAGAATTTATTAGTTTTACTTCCTTGTCTTTAATGGAAGTAAACTGATGAATAATATTTTCAAAATCCATTTCTTTGCTTATTTCCAATTGCAAGAATTATCATGTCTATTTTTCTTAACCAAGTAGAAATCTTAAACAATTTTAATTAACTTCAGCTTACTGATCTTGTCTTTATTTAAAATTCTGATATTTTGTTCCTCATGGATTTTTTCATTAACTGTAATATTTTTTAAACATTGCATTAAGACATCATTAATCTTGATTGCTGGGTTTCTTAGTGTCCCATAAATTTTGCCTCATTCACCCTAGTCCTGGTCCTGCTAAGAGAACGGGGCCCCACAGATCGCAGAATACAGGTTGGGGGGGAGCCTTCCCAGGCCTTTCCATCCCTGGTCCTGCCACTATCCAGCTTCTAGGAAAGGAAGCTACCCTCCAGATCATTCTAACATGCAAATTGCCTCTTCAGGACCCTACTTAAAACCCTTCAGTAGCCCGTTCTTGCCTTTATGGGAAAAAATATGAACTACTTAATATGGTTTCCAACACACACCCTAATCCCTCCTAAAACAATGACTTACTACTTGGTGGCTTATCTAGAGGCTTATCTCCCTTTCACTTCCACCTTCAGGATGTTTAGTTCCTGAAACATACTGTGTGTTTGTAAGAATGGGAATAAGTTAGCATAAGAGTAGCCATCTTGAAGGCCTAGAAACCATTTTCTGAGTATGTGACTTAAAAAGAAAAACTGGAACTGGGTCAGGCTTGAAAAACAATTTAATCATGAACACCGGGTTGTGGGCAGCTGTGACCCTTGGTCAGCTAACCTTGGTCAGTTAATCATACATACCAAGCTTATCGTGCGGAACCGCCCTGACAATTGAGGAGTGGTCCTATCTTGCTCTTGCCTAACCCCAGGATGTATGTCTTGCAAGAATAATGTGCAGCTGTGGAAAATTACTATGAGTTAAGTGCCTTGAAAATGCTATATAAACCCTTGGCTTTGAGTGCTCAGGGTCCTTGTTGAAACCAGCTGTGTCGGGCAAACACTTGGACCCCAGCTAGCTGGAATAATAATAAGCCTCTTGCTTGTTGCATCGATCTGCTGTGGCCCTCGTCTCCTCACTGGGGGGAAGCGCAGACTGGAATAAGGCCGGTAGGTCTTACATGTTCTACTGCCTTCAGGCTTGGCATAGGTGTTATCATCCCAACCCCACTTACTGTGTTTCTGTTAATGCCCTCCAATGATTTCCTATTTAAAATTCCTTCTTCGCTTGAGCTGTTTAGCCAAATGAAAAACTAAATTCAACCTTTGTCCAAAATTGGGGATCTGGAAGAGTGGCTGAAATGTATTTCAAAACTAAGCTACTTGGGGTTTTTGTTGTTATTGTTGTTTTAATAGTGCTAAGATTCTCCCAGGCTTGAACTTTGGAATCATCTTTAAAACTTCTCCCCATCAACTACATCCATTCATCCTCATCTAATCACTTGGCCCTAAAAGGTATTTATTCATTATGCCACTAATCTCTCCCTTTTCTTTGTATTTTCAAATACTTTGGAGTGATGAAATGCTTAAAATAAAAAAGGCAGAAAGCACTATGCAAATTGAAAACACCCAGCCTAGGGTAAACTTTATAATATACTTTATAAATAACATCTTAGTGGAGAGTCTGGTCTAATCTGTATTCTTTCTCAGACAGGAATTCCCCAAATACATTCTCTTTACACTGTGTGGGCAAGTTGCCAGTGCTACTAGTTTCCTATTTTTTTTCTTGACAAAAACATATTAACATGTACAAAATTTGTAAATGTGTGATGTCATGGAAGAACTGAGTTAAGCATTTTCTTCTTTTATCAGTAATAGCTCCTCCTTCCCTATACCACAGTGCTTTTGCATTGCTTTGCTCTCACTGTTCTCAGCATCTGAAATGCCTTCTCCCCATACTTTCAAAATTCTCTGTTCAAAGTCCTTTATCTGTTCTCCCATTTCACTGTCTTTGCACACTGTTTATCTTGCATTATAATTAAGTGACCATGAAGGTGTCTCCTCTTCCCCACTGACTGAGAGCTCTTAGAGGACAGGGACTTTGTTGTGGCTATTAATTAGCAATTATGCTTTAAAACAAGGACAGGCTTTGTAGGGCCAAGGCCACAGGCAAGAACAAAGGAATAGGAAGAACCCAGAAGGATACCCAAATAAGCCTGAAATTGGAAGATTAAAAAAAATTGGGGACCTGAAAGAGTGGCTGAAATGTATTTCAAAATAGTATTTTTAAAGAGATACCCCTTCAAAATCTGTGATTTGCATTTTGATGAAGAATTCCTGAAACTGATGCAGGGGTTCTTGTTTGCAGAGTCGAAGAATGAATTTCACAAACACCCAAGGTAAGAGAGCCAGGGAGAGGCTTTTCCTGAGAGATACAGTGAGAGGACAGAGCTCCTGGCTCACGCCAGGGGTGGTGCATTGTCTAGGGGTTTTATAAACAGTTGAGGATTTTAGGGAAAGTGGTCCTTGAATATTTAGAATTAACTTAAACTTCCTGCTCTGATTTCTTCCTGGGATACTGGCATCTTCATCTGGGAGCATATCAAACAAGGCCACCTGCCCAGCCCCCAAGGTGGGCTGAGGTACTGTTTGCTAAAGAGTAAGTTAAGAATCTTACTTAACTTCCTGGGTGTTAAAAGGTAGATCTTTACGGTGGAATCCTTCTTGCCTTTTACTATGTTGTTTATGGCCAGGCCGGCTAAATTAGTTGCTCAGTTTGCAAATCACCTCATCAGGTCTTCTTTATCTGGGGAATATTAACTGATCTTACTGAAGAATGACTCTAGAGCTTAATGTTTAACACAGTTTTGGTAGGGGATTTCCTTGCATGTAGTTACATTGCTCTGACTGTAATCTTCTTGCCTTGCTTTTTCCAGAGGCCCTCACCCTATTCTGTCTAAGCCCATGGTCCCTGTCTCAAAACCTCTCCACAGCATGCACATACACGCACACACATTCTGACTTGATCATAGCTTTGCTGTAGTCCATCCATGGATGCGGAAAGGGCCTTCCTAATGCTGAGAAGTGGTGCCAGATAGCATTGTAAGCTTTAATCAGCTACTGCTACCCCTGGCAGTAGAAGAATAATTCAGGGCTCTCACCCTTTGCAAAGCTAGCTGAGAAAGAGCATGTGTGAATACATAAACCAAGAACTGCAAAGTTATCTTTGGTATTGACTTCTTCCCCACCCTGAAACTAAAGAAAATCTCTGCTAGAGGCATCAAGTGGTAGAGAGCAGGGCTGGCAATGCTGTATCACAGGAGGAGGCTTTCGACAATTTCATTTCTGTAGAAAAATGTTATTTGGAAATTATAATCAACTCTTCACTTTAAGTCAGTTTTTTTCAAGCCTCATAATAACTGTTGGAAAATTACAGCACTTACTACCCAAACTGATTACTGGCGTCTATTTTAAAATGGTTCAAATGCAACTTTAGCAACACTTCATAATCACTAGTTACTATGGGCTATTTTTTTATAAATTAAAAAAAATCAACCTGGCAATTTTTTTTGTAATTCATGATTGAAATTATTGTTCATGTAGAGATATTTTTTTGAAAAGCTTTAATCTTCAGGTTGAAATGTTAACATTTATCTTTCAATGTTGATCTTTCTACAACTTTAGATAAAAGTTTTCTACAAGTTGATGCATGCTAGAGCTTAGTAGAGCACAATAGTATTGCTGTAACTGTGAGTCTCACTAACCTTAGTGTTTGTGTCTCAGATGCATGTTAGAAAAGCAACATATTTATCTCCTGAAGTATTCAACTCCTTTAATGTTGCCAGCCTTGTGAAGTTAATATTTGATAGTAAGTTCCTGAGTTACCTTGTGATCTCAGGGCAGAAACAGAACTTCAGGAATGAGGATAGAGATTCTAACTGAAGTGTTGAGGGACGTTGCGTATTTTCCTCCATCCTTGTCCCCGCCACGACAAAGAAATGAAGGGCAGAGACAGAATACTGAAGCAGAGTGAAAGTTTTATTTAAAGTTACTTAAAGAGAGAAAAAGTACAGGCTACCTCAGCAAGAAGAGGCACCCTGAAAGTTTGGAGAGAAAAAGTTTAAGATTACAAGGTTACTTGTTCACCATGTAAGAATTTGTTTGTTATGCTTCAGAAGACTGGAGACTGTTCAGATATAGGCTTGGGGTTGATTAATGACTGTGCATTGTGTCCCCTGTACAGAATTTTATTTTTGTTAACAACCATTTGATCAATAAACATGAGAGATGCCCTCTCAAAAAAAAAAAAGATTACAAGGTTACACACTTAGAAAGTGCAGACGGCCTCACAGAGAGGAGTGCATCAAAAGGTTGGGAGTTCCCCTTTTTAAGGATTCATTAGGAATGTGACTAAGG